GTCAGTCATGGCTCTGACTTGCTTGAAGACTGTTAGGACCCAAATGACCAAAGCATTTCCCATAAGACCAGTCACGAACAGTAGGGAGTACAGCACTGGAAAAAAGGTAGATGTAAATGCTGGAATATTTTCAAGATCACAGCTCATGTCCAGTTCTGGGTAGTAGGCATATTCATAGGCTGCAGAGGAGTTAGATGTTGGTGACGTGTAACCCACCTGTTCAAGGACAATGAAGTTCATGAGGCCCAAATCCCAAATTACCCTCTTAGTAAATATACTAGGCACAAGTCAGCTCACACCAAGCTGCATGAGGACAAAAGAGCTGTGCCTCAGCTGTGCTGGAGGATGCAAACGAGGATCAAGCATGAATGACCAGTCCTCCCCTGCAAGATCCAGGATGAAGTTCTTGCACCAGAAGGGCAGAGAAGATCAAAGAAAATGCAGCTGTGGTGCAAACCAGAGGTTACCAGTATCCCCACACCGGCTCCATGTGGGGTGCCCAGCCCCATGTCTGCAGTCCAGATGGATGCAGTTGGGTACTGAGTCCAGAGCCAGGGGGCATCCCTAAACCAGCAACCAAATGGGCATGGCCATGGAGCTGAGAGCCCCTTACAAGGTTTCGGGGTACTATTCCATATTTCCTTCAGAAAGGAGAAAGGGACCAGTGCTTAGGGAAGAACTGAAATGTAAACATTCATCTCCTAAAAGCTGCCTTTCTAGTTAGCTAAGTGCCAGAAATACCCCTCGTGGGACAAGTTACTTTTGCAGAGCATTCCCACACAGTTCGAGCAGGTTTTCAGTTGAAAAGGCACCAGTGTGTACAGGTCACCATTGGCTGCTGCACATTGCACGCTCTCTCCACCCCAGCTGAGATCAGCAGCGGCAGCTCTGGCCCAAGGGGCAACTTCCCAAAGAACAGACGGGGGTTTCTGCCCCTTCTTCCTCCCTCCCCAGCAGGAACTTTGCCCTTTTGGCCTGTGCCAGCACAAACCGCTGCTGGCAGCAGCTCACGCTCACCAAGACTTTACTCTGCTAACGGGGACGGCTGGATTTCCTTTCAACACCAGTGGCTCTACTCTCCTGGCACCCCTCACGATGCACCAGCAGCAGCGATGTTCCCCTTCCCTTCTCCTCGGCCCCTCGCAGCCCCCCAGCACCAACCTCCACATGCCTGGGCAGCACCTGCGACAGCAGAAAGCTGAAGATGGCTGGCAGCACATCCCCCGGCCTCATCAGCCAAAGATATTTTCACTCACTGTTTTTTTCAGAGAACAACAATCACACTGATTTCTTCAAACTTTTGCTGTCCCTACCAGTACTATATGTACCCTTATGCAAAACTGATGTGCTCAGATGTGCTGCTGGCCTCCGCTTGCAGGGCAGCAGCCCAGCAGGGAATGACTTACCGACAGGTCCTCAGAGCCCCCTCTGCTCAGCAGATACATCAAGTTTCTGTCCATAATCCAACACTGTGTCTGAAAGAGTGCAAAAAAACAAAAAACAAACCCAAACCTCTATATCACAGGTTTTTAAGAAGCGGGCATACCTTCACAGATATATGCCAGCAGTATTTACCTTAGCTTATGTTGCAATGACAAGTCCCAGGCAAGGTCCTCACTGTGGCAGTGCACAGTCATAAAATGCCTTTTCCTCTTCGTGATATGTGTTACATTAAAGATGCACAAAACCCCAAGCCAACCTGTTCATCTCTTTAGTTCACACTTCAAGATAAGGAAATGTGTCAGGTTTATCTTCTAAATGATCTACGTATTTTCACTTTGAGCATTGGTACAAACGTCAGTGGAAGAGATGTGCAATTTTCCCATGCGTCTGCAAAGTGCCTCTGTTCCTCACCTGCAGCTCTTGGGAGAGGGGAAGCAGTGCTGTCTCTCCTCTGCTCTTTTTGGTGACGATGTCTGCAGAGGACGGCCCAATGCTGCCAATAGCCAATGACGGCAAAGGGCAAAGGGTTTGACAATTTTCCTTGGAAGGCACCTTCCCCCTGCAGCCACACACTCAGACAGAAATACCCAAGGGAACTGATCATAGAATCATTTAGGTTGGAAAAGACCTTTCACAGAATCACAGAATGGTCAGGGTTGGAAGGGACCTCTGGAGATCATCTAGTCCAACCCCCCTGCCAGAGCAGGGTCACCTGGTGCACAACAGGTGCACAGGATGGTGTCCAGGTGGGTTTTGAATGTCTCCAGAGTGGGAGACTCCACAACCTCTCTGGGCAGCCTGTGCCAGTGCTCTGCCACCCTCAAAGAAGTTCCTCCTCATGTTTAGATGGAACTTCCTATGTTCAAGTTTGTGCCTGTTACCTCTTGTCCTATCACTGGGCACCACTGAAAAAAAGACTTCCCATTTACCTGGCACCCTCTCTTTAAGTATTTATAAGTATTGATAAGATCCCCCCTCAGTCTTCTTTTCTCTAGACTAAAAAGACCAAAGTCCCTCAGACTTCCATCATAAGAAAGATGCTCCAATCATCTTTGTAGCCCTTTGCTGGACCCTCTCCAGCAGATCCCTGTCCTTCTTGAACTGGGGAGCCCAGAACTGGATGCAGTACTCCAGATGCGGCCTCACCAGGGCAGAGTAGAGGGGAAGGTGGCCCTGCCTCGACCTGCTGGCCACACTCTTCTTGATGCAGCCCAGGATGCCATTGGCCTTCTTGGCCACCAGGGCACATTGCTGGCTCATGGTCATCCTGTTGTCCACCAGGACTCCCAGATCCCTTTCCACAGAGCTGTACTCCAGTAGGTCAGCCCCTAACCTGTACTGATGCATGGAGTTATTCCTCCTCAGATGCAGTACCCTACACTTGCCCTTGTTGAACTTCATAAGATTTCTCTCTGCCCAACTCTCCAGCCTGTCCAGGTCATGCTGAATGGCAGCACAGCCTTCTGGCGTGTCAGCCACCCCTCCCAGTTTTGTGTCATCAGCAAACTTGCTGATGGTCCATTCTATCTCTTCATCGAGGTCATTGATAAATATGTTGAACAGGACTGGACCCAGTACTGACCCCTGGAGAACACCACTTGTCACAGACCTTTGAGATCATCAAGTCCAACGTAAACCTAACACTGCCAAGTCCATATCAATCTTCCTTCCCAAAACATGCACCTGTGGGACACTCTCGGAGACTAACACTGAAGTAAAGCCCTGAACACCACTGGATTTCCACCGCCTCTGCCAAGTACCTGCTGGGGTCTCATTCTGACCCAGCACAGCTTTCATCCCACGGCTGTTTTTGACCTCCCCCACAACACAAGGTATATGGGAAAGAGCAGCACTACTGAGCAAGTGGGCTTGAGGAATTAGAGATAAGGATAGTAATTGGGAGAGGCAACAGGCAAAACGTGGACTGAACTTTGCTTGAGAGCAGCAAGCATAATAATGGTGGGAAATGGGGAATTTTTGTTGTAATTCTGTTGAAGGGATGTGGGATGGAACGTGTGTAAATTGTTCACTTTTGTCAGTGTCATGATGATGTGATTTTGACTTTGGTGTGGCAAATTCTTTTGTTGATGTGAAGTTTGTGAAGATTATAGATTGTGTGATGAGTGTGTATTTCAGTGATAATTCTTAAACGTGATTCACAGAGGTGAGGGATGGAATGTATTGGGTTTATGTGGGAAGGTTTTGGTAGTGGGGCAGTTGCAGCGTTGACTTCTATGAGAAGATGCCAGAAGCTGTCTCCACGTCAGACAAAGTCAGTTCCAGGCAGCTCCAAAATGAACATGCTGCTGACAAAAGCTGAGCCCATTAGTGACATTAGTAGCATCTCTGTGCTGTGATATCGTATTTAAGAAAGGGTAAAAGACACTGTGCAACAGCAGCTGTGGAGAGGAGGGAGAATGTGTGAAACAGCCCTGCAGACACCAAGGTCAGTGAAGAAGGAGGAGGTCCTCCAGGTGTCAGAGCGGAGATTCCCCTGTGGACCATGGTGAAGACCATGGTGATGCAGGTTGTGCCCTGTGGAGGTCCACGGTGGAGCAAGATGTGAGCTACAGAAAGGAGCACCAGGAGGGATGAGGGTGAGCCGATCCCCTTTTCCATGAATTAGCGGGCAGAATCAGCTAATGAAATCAAAGATGACAGTCACTCTCTGGAGGAGGAGGAGGGAACTGCGTAATTAGAGAGGAGCTTGCAAAAGGGAAGAGGGAGTCCCTAATGAAGAGCTTTTGCTAGCCTGTGTGTTACATTTCCTCAGAGAAGTACATTCCCTCTTTCTTAAGGAGCTGCCACGTGGCAAAGCGAGCGATCAACAGTAAGTGGTTTGCGCCCGTGGCTATTGCTGCACCCAGGATCTTCTTTCTAGGAACAGCCCAACTTAGCTGGAATGTGAAGCGTCTGTGCGTGCCGCCCATTACTCGGCCAGTGCACAGCAAGCTGGCAGGCAAGATTCTCAGAAAAAGAGTTCGTCGAAGCCTCTGTGCGCTCCTCCCAGCCTCCTCCTGCCTGGCTGATAAGAAATGGCTGGCTCTGCGGGCCCAGCTCGGCGGGCTGACGCTGATCTAAAATAGAACGGCCTCATTTCGGCACCTCGCTCCTCCAGTGCTCTGGAAACCCAGCCCTCCTCTGCTCCGGGCCCAGGACGTGGAAGACCAAGTGGAAACACTAGTGGTAAGGAAACGTCAGGGAAAAGCTCCGGTGTTTGAACCCCACAGTTTCCACAGCAACACGGTTGGGGGGGG